ATTCCCCTCGGGTTTTAGCAGCTGGTTTGGGATGGCCCCCTTCACCCCAGAAAGTGCCACGGCACCTGGCGCTCGGTTCCTGAACGTGAGCGCAGGGCCAGGGGGAGCCCTGGGGTCGGCGGGGGTCGCAGCTCCGGTGCCCCCACCACGCTGGTCTCCGGCCGCCCCCGCCGGAGGACGGCCTTCTCTGTCTAGGCAGCAACGTGTCTGCTTTTTTTCCTCTCGCTGGAAACGCACTTTGACATTTTTTAACAAATAACACAATTTTCCCTTTGTGTTTCCCTTAATAAAACACAGGAATGAGAGCAAGAAAAGGAAAGTAAAAAAACATGTTCCTGTCATCTCCACTCTGTACCAGGATGCCCCCCCCCCCCGCCCCCGGCGCTGTCTCCCTCCCACCGCACGAGGTAGCCTCCGCCTCCGCTGCCCTCACTCCTCTCCCCAAATCTCAGCCACAGACGCTCCCGAGTCTGGGGGTGGTGCTTCTGGGTTTCCTGCCGTAGGAAGGGGAACGCCACAGCCCGTCTGCCTGCCTCACCCCATCTTCCACACAGTGCCACTTGGCTGAGGACAGGTGAGGGCAGAGAGGCGGAAGAGGCCCAGGGGCACCTCCTCTGTGAAGTACCCCCAGGTTACAGGGATCCCGTGCACCCTCTTGGGGTCACTTATCCGTTGTTGCTTTTAATCCATTACCCGGGCGTGCCTTCCTCCGGCAATGGCAGCCTCTAGACCAGACCCAGACCAGCAAAGGGCCTTCCATTCCGCACCCCCTCAAAGCAAAGTACTGGGCTTAAGACATATATCCCTGGTCTCTTGATATCTGCTTGAAGTTGCAAGATTCCTGATGTTTGGAACAGCTGCCCATCTCTCAACGGGGCTACATGTGAAGTTTCCACACTTGGGGCCAAACACCAATCATACAATTTGCAGTTTGGGGGAGATGTGGCCTATCAGCAGCTTGTGCGGAAGAAGACGGAGGGGGTTTTGTTAATAACATACACGGTCTGAGTCAACGGCCGCCCCTGAAAATGCCCACCCCGAATCAGGCCGTGTTAACGAGTATTTTACGGCCACAGGAAGGAGGTGAGGCCCTGAACACACCATCACTGGAAAACTACAACAGGTCTGGAGAGAGAGAGAGACAGAGACAGAGAGGGAGAGAAACTGGATTAGGATCAGAAGCAAAGTGAACAGGCCAGAGAAGGCCGCTCTTCGCGGTAGGATTTGACAGTTTGAAGGGCCAAGTCCCGAGCAGTCAATGGACCAGATGTGGCAGCTCTAGGGAAATGAATTGGAAATAAATTTGTTAATATAAACTTAACACTTGGACCAGATGAGCTTGAAGGTCACGTCCGCCTCTAGAAGTCAGTAGTTTGGGGTGTCTCTTTCAAAGCCTGTTTACCTCCTTTCTATAAGCTCTCAGAACACAGTACTTCTGATGAAAGGGAAAAGATGGGTGGTTCTTCACAAAGAGCTTCTGGACATTGGCTCTGTGGCATCTTCTGTCCTCAGAAAGGTGAAATGGTAGCATTTGAGTTTAAGATGAAAAACCATGGGGCGTAGTCAGGAGAATCTGTCGCAGGGGGAAAGCTGTCTGTCCACCTACCCAGCTCATGTCCCTGAGCTGGCTGAAATGACAATGGGGCAGGGGCGGGATTCAGTGAGCGAGGTGAAATAAAGCATGAAAGAAAAAACACCAAATAAACAAGGGATGTCTTTAATGGTTCGGACACTTAGCTACATCAGCATCTACACCTGGACAGATTCTGCAAAACATGGACTGAGGAGCGGTTGGTTCTCTGGCCCAGCCCATTGTCCAAAGTCAGTCTGCTTTCAGACTTCAGACCGGAAAGGCCTTTCAGACCATTGCGTATAGCGCCTTCACCGCAGAGAAGAAGTACACTTGCACAAGGAGGTGAGGTTGGCCCACCTGATGCAGAGCCGAGCTGGGAATGGAAGTGAGTTCCTTGGATTCCTGGGCCCATATGTTTTCACCTTTCCTAGAGTGCTGCCCCCACACAGCGAGCACGGCACTCATCCATCAGGGAACGACATATATGTGATCGATACTCACATATATGTGCCTGGCTCTGCGCTAGAGCTTATCATGTGATTATGAGACACAGTCTCCATCGTGAAGGTGCCCAGGAGCCCAAGAGCTGGGGAGAGACGTCCCTACCGAACATCTGTGGGTGATCTGTACTGATCGGGGTGCCTTCCAGAGATGCAGAGACCACTGGAGAGATGTGGGTCCCAGATCAGATGGGACCCCACACACTTTCAGGACATTCTTTAAAAGGAATAGTCTTACGACTAGTTAAACGTATTTCATACATTCAAGACCTTTAGTGAAACCAAGATTCTGCTGGGCATTTAAAAATATTCCTCGTGATTGTATTTGCCCGACTCCATTTTTTTTCCCCTTGCGTGACTTCTATTTTATATATTATCCTAAGGATACTGGTAATCCATATTGTTTTCCCACAGTCTACTTGCAGTGGCAGAGAGGACGAAGGACAGGTGTCAGGGGACATGCCACTAGCCATCTGGGCAACAACAGAGAAATCTCCCAGCCCTGCTAAGCCCCAAAGATTCATCAGAAACAATGGATAAAACTATGTGTTCTGCCTACCCCCCCCCACCCCAGGTTTGTTGTAAAGATCAAGCAAAATCATGTACGCCTGGAATGTCTAAAGCAGCATTCAAATGTAAAGTATTAAACTCTCTGCCCCTTTTCCCTTGTTTCCCCGAAGTCACATTCAGTGTTTGGCTTGTGTCTGCTGGCAGAAAGCACTTCTAATGGCGAATGGGGTCAAGGCTCCCAAGCACATCCCAGCAAGAGCTGCCAGCACCACTTCTTTAAAAATAAGGAAGTGGTCCTGTCCTTGGAGAAGTGAAAAGAGAGCGCTTGCAATGTGGCATCCCGCCTGCTCAGAGTTCATTGTGCCAGAGCGCCTGGCAAGTCCAATCCGGTTCCCTTCAGCCCAGGAATGGAGGGGCCCCCAGAGGATCCCGCGGAACTGACCCTTCCTGCGTATTCCCTCTGCGCTCCGCTCTCCTCACCTGTAGTATTGGGATAAGCACCGTCTCCACCCCACAGGGCTGCTGTAAAGATTCAGCGAGTTAACTGTGTCACCAAGCCTGGCACAAAATAAAGTGTTCGATAAACGTTAGCCCGCGTTATGGTTTATTTATGGAGTGTCCACTTGGGGCCAGGCCCCGTGCTGACCTGCTGGACTCCACACTTGGTTAAGACCCCGTTCCTGCTCCGGGAGGGGCCAGAGGTCTACCGCTGGAAGCCAAGGTTAGGAGGTGCAGTGACTCGACATCTCCCCCCTCCTCCAGCACTTCTCTCCCCTAAGAATGTCCCCTTAGCCCGCTTCCTGCTCAGCGCCTGGTGGGGGGTGGGGGTGGGGGTCAGATCCCACCTCGTCCCTACCCGGAGCCGGATTCAAGCTCGCACCGTGGGTCCTACGGCATCAGCACACCCCGTCCGTGAACGGGTTTCCATCTGAACCGGCCAACGGGTTTGGGAGCCCGGCGGAAGTTGGGAACGCTGCGGGAGCCCCGGCCGCGGGGAACGGGAGCGCGGCGCGCGGAGCCGTGGGGGCCCGCAGGCAACCACGCGCCGCAGCCCGCGGGCGCTTCCGACGGCGCGGGGAGGGCCGCGGGGCCGGGGGCGCGGGGAGCCGCTGCACGTGGAGGGGAGGAACCTCGGCGAGCCTGCGAGGCGGCCGCTCCGGGGCTGGGCCGCGCGGCCCCGGCCGGGAAGGGAGCTCGGCGGCCGCTCCGGGGGCGCGCTCCCAGCCCGCCTCCCCGCGCACCCCACCCCTTCCCTCCGCCGCGCGCCGCGCCGAGCCGCCCCTGTCAGCGGCGGCCGGATCCGCCCCGGCGCGGCGGGGCCCGACTCGCACCCACGACCCCGGGGCCTCCGCCCTCCCTCCCGGCCTCCGAGCGGCCCCGGCCCTCCCCGCCCGCCCCCCCTTCCCTCCCGGAGGAGCGACGCGGGCGGCCAGGACGTCCCGAGAAGGCCGGCCGCCCGCGGCCACGTCCCGGCCCGGCCCGGGCGCGCCGAGGAGCGGAGCCAGGGGCCGGCGCTCGCTCGGGCTCCCTCCCTGCCGCGCCGGCCGCAGCGTCGAGGGCCTGCGGCTCCCCGGGCCGGGGCTCCCCGCGGCGCCCGGCCGCCGCCTCCCGCCCCCGCGGCGGGGAGCGAGCTCGCCCACCAGGTAAGGAGGGCTTGCGCGTTCCTGGGCTGCGGCTCTGGCGGGCGTGTTTCGGAAAGTTGATTTGAAATGCATCCAAGAGTGAGCAGGGCCAGCCGCGGCTCCTCCCCGAGGCGACTTCTGCGCTCCCGCAGACGTTCCCGGCACCAGCCGACCGGCGGAGCACCGCCCCGCGCGCCCCCAGCGGCTCCCGGCGCCCGGGGTCGGCGAGCAGGCGGGCGCGCTCCGGCTCGCGCCCTCGGCCCCCCCCCCCCCCGGGCCGGGGCAGGTGAGGGTCCACCCCGGGCCGGGCCGGCCGCGGGCGCTACACCCCGCCGTCCCGCGCGCCTGGGCCGGGCCCCGCGAGGGGAACACCCACCCCTTTGATTCCCCGTCTCCCCGCGTCGCCGGGCTCCCGCAGAGCGGTCCCCGGGGCCCGCGCGAGTGTAGGTTGGGGCGGAGTCGGACTGGGGCTGGGAAACCTGGGGCTGCGGACCGAGGGGGGGGGTGTGTCTGGCGGGGGGGAGGCAAGGGCAGGAGAAGCGCAGTCGGGGGGCGGAGGTCTAAGTACAAAACGCGTTGACTTCAAGTGAAATCAGATCAGTCCGAGCAGTCCGCGGTGACTCGCCTCTCGCCTCCCACCCCACGTTTCTCTGGGCTGGACTCGACCCTCCCGGCTCCTTCTGGTGACCCTGGACACTCCCTGCGTCCTTTCCCAGGAGAGCCGCGGCCGCGGGCTCCCGGTCCCAGAAGGCACGGACCCCCGGAGCACCGCTTCCTCTCCCCTGAAGGTCCTCGCGGCCCGGCCCGAACATGCTGGACGGCCTGAAGATGGAGGAGAACTTCCAAAGCGCCATCGAGACCTCGGCGTCCTTTTCCTCGCTGCTGGGTGAGTGTTCAGGCCCTGCGTGCCCGGTGCACCCTCTTTCCGACGGGCCCCAGCTCTGCAGCCCAGCTGGCCCGGGACCGGCCGGCGAGAAGGGAGCCCGCGCCCCGCGTTGTGGCCACGCTCCGCGCGTCCGTCTGTCCCTTCGGGTCGTTCCCTCCCCAAACCGACAAGCCGCCCCAGGCCTCACGCTCGGGCCGCCGAATTCCCCAAAGCCGCGAGGGGCGGGCGAGATTGCTCGCGGGCGTGAGTGGCAAGTGATTAAAGATACCCAGGGCTGGATTTTTAATCACGGAGCTGATCGACATCTCATAAACGCCATGCGCTTCTCCGAGGCCTAAGGGCGAGCAGAGGAGACCCGAGGCCCGGGGCGCCCAAGTTCGAGGCGGCTTCTCGTCCCCACCGACTCCAGCCCCGACCCTCAGCCCCGGGCATGGCCCACAGGCTTTTCCAGGCCGGTGGGCAGCGTAGCGCGGGGATTAGCCCGCGCGGCAGGACCCTCGCCTCGGTTTTAATTAACTGGAGCCGGACCTCGAGGCCGGCGGGTTCCCCCCTGCCTCCCCAATCCCTTCCTGAGACCGCGGAGGAGCTGCGAGCCAAGGGCCTCCAAAGGGTGTTTGCGCGCGCGGGTCTGGCCGATCTGAGGCCAAGGATTCGCAACCCCGCCTCCCACCCAGACCTTGGTGCTTCTCAGGTGTGGGCAGCGGCTGTTTTAATATCTCAGCGGGAGAGGTTTTCGTTCTGTCTTTAAATCTCTTGCCTCTTTCCCTCGCTCGGAGCCGCTGGAGCGGGGAGAAGGCGAGGGGACAGTTCGGCTGGAGGAACCAAATCCAGAGAGGAATTCCCCCTGCTCCCCAGATGAAACGAAATCACGCGCGCTGAGCCCCCCTCTTTCAGCCGCGCCTGCGGAAACTTCTCAGCTCCGTGCGGCCTCGGGAGAGTGCGGGGGTCGGGCTGGGGCGCAGGCTGGCACTGCCCTCGCCGCGAGTGCGGCGACCTTGTGCTACAGCGGGCGTCGCGGCTCACCGCGGCTCCCAAAGTCCGCGTCCTGGCCCTGAATGCCGAGACAGGGCAGAAAGAATAGACCAGTTTACGATCGAGAACTATCACGCTACTTTTCTTAGCCCTCCCTGCCGTGCCCCCCGCGCGACGGGCTCTGCCCACGAACTGGTGGCACGGTCCCCCAAGGGAAAAGCAACAGGAGTGTGGCAAGGACGTGGGGAGGGGTCGGGCCCTTTGGGACCCCACGCGCAGGAGTATGGTTACCAGGGGACAAGGTCTTCTTTAAATAGCTGTGAAATGTGCCGACAAAGGCGGCCAAGCGTTCTCCCATCCTAAAGAAGGGCACCCCCTACCCAGCAAAATAAAGGAACAAAACCGGCAAAAGTCCAAGGGGGTAGTAGAGAGAATTCCGCGGGCAGGCGGAGCGGGTTTGGGGCGGGTGTCGGCTCTCCTGAGCCGCAGCTGAGCGCACCCGGTCCCGGAACTCTGGGCCGGTGGCGTCTCCGCGCCCTGCGTGCTTCTTCCTTTTCCCCTTCTATTTTGATGCTTCTCAGTTATGTATGTGTGTATACAGATGTACACATACATGCAATTATACGTAAAACCCCTCTGCAGTTTGTGTTCCAGCTAAGAGGCAGCAGGCAGGGGACCATTGCTTTGAACAATACTGAGTTTGCCCAGAGGGAGATGGTATTTTTCTCTACGAATGAGACTTTTTAGGAAGAAAATTAAAAAAAAAAATTTTAAAAATCTCCCTTAAAACATAGAAGAGAATTGCGTTTTAGCAAAAGACAAAATCAACGCCCCCTCTCCCCGAATTCTTTTTACAGACTCGCAGTTTTTAATCACTGTCGAAAGAGACCAGCGTAGTGAGTGACTTGATGTTTCCCTGATAAACCGGGGAGCGCAGAGGTATTCGCGGTCTCATTTTATTGGACGCGCGCACATTTGCGCGAATACCTGGGCAGGTTTGCTCTTTGAGGCCGCTTACGGATCTGCGCCCCCTCCCCCGTGGAACTGGAGCCTTCCCATATAGTCGCTGTTTATTAGAAACAACACTCAGTTTGATTTTCCTCTGTTCTCCAAAACTCGCTTTGGTGGATTTAGCGGGGAAGGGGGGGGCTGCCCAGGGTGGGGGGCTCGGGGGAAATCGGGGGTGTGGAGTGATCAGTGATGGGAGCCGGTCCCGGCCGCCTTTCGCCGGGATGCTGGGCCAGCGCGGTTGACCCGCGAACGTCTGTTGCTGCCGTAGGCAGAGCGGTGAGCCCCAAGTCTGTCTGCGAGGGCTGTCAACGGGTCATCTCGGACAGGTTTCTGCTGCGGCTCAACGACAGCTTCTGGCATGAGCAGTGCGTGCAGTGCGCCTCCTGCAAAGAACCCCTGGAGACCACCTGCTTCTACCGGGACAAGAAACTCTACTGCAAGTATGACTATGAGAAGTAAGTGTCCGCGCCGCCCGGAGCGCGCCCCCCAGACAGGCACCAGCCGGCGCGGGAGACTCGATCCTCCTGCAGCCCCATCCGCTTCCGGGAGGCTCGGGAGGCGCCCGCACGCGCCGAGGCGCACAAAACCCATTCACCCCCAGCTTGTACACCGCCCCGGGCTGCGGGGAAGCGCGCGCCGGGCCGCAGAGGGGCGCGAGCGACGGCTGCCTGCACCGTGTGCTCGCCGCTTTGCAGGCCCCCCAGGCTCCAACTTGACGCTCCTCCGTGGGGGCTCCCACCCCGTAAGCTCGTTCCCGTCTCTCCCCTTCACGCGGATGCAACGCCCCCCCCCCCCGTGCTGCCTGGAGCTCTCGTGTCCGCGCGGGTTCCCACGCCGCCTCACCCACGTACCCGCGCCGCGCACGCGCTTCGGGCGAGCGGTGCTCCCTGAGTGCTCCCACGGCGTCCGCGCGCGCCTTTGCCGCTCGGCTGGGTCCGCTGGCCGTCGCGACAGATTGGGCTCAGACAGGGCGCTGCTGCCCCTCTGAGCTCCGCGCGCACCCTGTTTGCCTTTTCTCTCACTGTCCCCGACGCCCCTGCCCCGCTTCTCAAAAACTCTGGGGGCGCAGCTGCAGTTAGGCCAGAAGCGGGGCCTGATTTGAGGCTCCCTCCTCATCCTCGCGTGGGTGTGGACTGCAGCCTTGCAGAGCATTCAGCGCTCTCCTGCCCACGGGGAACGTTCTGGTGTGTTGTGAGGAGACTTAGGAGGCAGGTATTTAAGACAGTAGATTATTGTGAATCTAGATTTCTGTAATGCCTGAAGCCTGGATGCGGCAGGGAAGAGGGAGTTAGAAGGATTTCCTGGTTCTCACCAGGCAGGCCCGGAGTTGCTGAGTGGGTCCGTGGGGAGGGAACTGCTTTTCCTTGTCACAATGGCCAGTTTATAGGGACCCCGGCTTCGCAGAGCTGCGCAGGGCATCGAAGGAATGCAAAGGGGCTGAAACGCAGGCCTCTGGTTTTGCACACTAGCACTGGTATCTGTGAGTGAGTGGACGCGCGCGTGCGCAGGCAGAATTCTGCATTCGTTGCTGGTGCATAAAAGGGGCCGCACTGCTGAGGATCATCGAGGGAGGGGCCGTGTGCATGGAGAGCAGTGCCTATCACGTTGTTAAAAACACAGCGAAGGGGGTGTGTGTGCCGAAGTCCCCACGTAACAACGACAGCGAAACGCGGAGAAGGAACAGATAAAGCTTCTTTTCAGTGTTGTCTGGGCTGTGGAGTTGCCGAAAACCGGCAACTGCGTTTATACCCAGTGACCAAACACACAATTAATTTTTCTGCCGCCCAGTGCTCCTTTGCCATAGTATACTTGAATTTCACCCTCAACGTGGAAAGGGTACTGGCCATTCATACTTGTTTTGAAAAGAGAACTTTGCATTTTTCGCACTCAAAAGAATACATGTTGGATTTGGGGTGAGTTGGACCCTAGAGAAACGTGGAGAGAAATGAAAACACACGGACCTCTTTCCAAAGTGGTAATTATGGTTAACATTTTTTAAAGAAGACATGCCTGTATCTGTTCTGGGTTGTCTGTTGCCGCAGCGTCTGAGTGAAAAGTGCAATTTTGGGGGAATTAAGCAGATTTCGCTCACGGAACTTCAAGTATCACCTTTGGATAAAGCTTTTGGTGGATTGCTCGCGCCCCCCCCTCCCATCTTGCTTTTCATCTAAAGGTTTTGGGATTGTGTAGACCCAATCTTTATCTTTCTGCTTATAGATTACTGAAATGTCCACATCCTTCAGGCATAACACTAGCGAATTCAAAAGTATTGGAGCTTAGGAAAGGATTTGGGTTGTGAATTTCTATTCTGTTTGTTAAAAAAAAAATCACGAATCAAAGAAGGCTTACGGGTCAACACAGCTGTCTGGCCAGTCAGATCTTCTTTAAGGAAGTCAGGCCGTGTCAAGAGGGGAAGAAACAGTTGTTGTAAAGTACTTAACACAACAATGTCCCTTCCATTTCAGCCCCCAGGTTTGGCCTCGGTTTGGGCTGATTAGCCCACTAGGGTCAGTTCTCCCCTCACAGCTATTTCTGCAGAGGGAAAATTGCAGGGATCAACTTGCCAGCTGTTGGCCAGAACCAAGAAGATTTTGTAAAGGGGTGCGAGCCGCATTGTTCAGAGAGTTGTTGGTGTTACAATGAGCGATTTCAATTTCAATTTTAACATAAAGTCCGGAAACGCAGATGTCAGAGTGGGTTGCTTGCACTCTTCAGCACACTGCATGCTATCAGCACTGGTCTGGGCTCAGCTCCTCAGTTTTGTTTTTTTTTTTTTTTAAGATGAGGATTGTTTCTCCTCTGTTCTCAGTCCCAATCCCATTCTTCTTCCAACAAAATGGGGTTTTAATATGTCTGATCATCGTAATGGCATTCGCACGCAGGGTAGCTGCTATAGGAGAGGAGGGAGGTTTGTGTTTGTTTCAGAATGAGGCTCCATGCAAATTCCTCTCTTTAGCAAGCTGTTGTTCTCTATGCCAGCCACTGGGCTACCCACCAAATGAGAGGCTCTGAGACTGGGTCTCAGAGCTGCCTTCAGGGGGCTTGTAGCCTGGCCCTTTCACCTTCTGTCTTCTCCTAACTATCAACTCTTGCAAGTGCAGGCGAGGCATTGCCTAGAAGCTCTCCAGCCCGATCAGATCTTTATCCTCCAGAGGGACAATTCCACTTCAGATAATCCTCAGGAGAAAGCCACAGAGAGCACTTTTCCTCCTTAATAAACAGATATTTAAAAATAGTTTTGCCCTTTTGGGCCAACGTAGAGGGAGAAGAGATGGAAGGGGGTCAGTGAGGAAGCATGTCATAAAAACACAGATGGATCAGTGCCCTGCACTCCAGATCCACCAAGTTTGAGGGCTGCTCCTATGCATTAAAATGAAAGCGTGTACATATAGCTCACGCGCCGTCTTCGGCGAAGGTCATAAACATAATGTTAGAGAAAGCGAGTTTATTATATTTATTTTAGCCATTTGTCTGTGCGTTTCTGGCCTGTGGGGCCAGTTTTGCATTTGAATTATTAGCCTCCCTTCTTCGTGATGTCAGGTGGCCAGCTAAAAAGTGAAGATCCTACTCTGTCAACTAGTTGTTACACCTTCTTGGTGTCAAACACCAAATTTGTCTAATTAAAAAAAATGGAATCGACAGTGGCATCTTAGACACAGCCATTCATTTAAAACTTAAAGGACGTTTTGTTAAATATTTGTCTCATACGTTATGACACCCTTAGGAATCATTTATCTTCTGATCATCCAAAACAAATAAGCGTTTAAGGCCAGAGCGTAGAGCACTGATTTATGAACGACCACAGAAATGGAAGAATTGGAGGTGATCTTTTCTGTGCATGACAGGTCATCACACAAAAAGAACTAGTTAGGTGGGATGAACTGGTGAAACTGTACTAGGCAATATAAAACACAAGGATGCTCTATAGGTGTGGACGTTTAAAAACTGGATTCAACTCTTTTCAGCGTTCCTGAAAGTTAGCAGACAACCAAAATATTTTCCAGCCTCGGGGGACTTCTATTTTTATAACCGTTGTTCCTTATTTAACTGAGTTCTCTATGATCTGGGTAGTTAGGAGTTTTCCCTGAATTTGTTCCAAACAAATACTGTAGTCGGACTCCAGCGAGAGACCGAAGAGGCTGGGAATCACGGGAATGTGGTAATACAATAGATAATTAAGCCTTCTGGAAGGGATCCCACATTTAAATCGAGTTTATATTGTTTCTTTCATGTGCCTGGCAGCTCCGTGGGTCAGCCGGGGCCCTCTTCCCTCACATGTGAAGTTTGTCATTATCCCTTAGATTGTTCTGGACATCCTAGGAGCAGTGTGGGATAACTCTGCTGTCATCAGAGCTGTTCTCATAACATCGCAGCTCCTCACCAGTTTTCGGACGGCAGGGACTAAATCGGGGCAAAGTGCGTATCACGTTTAGAGCTTTCTCCATATCTTGCCTTCGACCTGCTGATTGGCAAGCCCTCCGGAAAAAAAAATGGCTGAGGTAATGAGCTCTATTAGGACCCGTAATGAACTAATCCCGCATTTTATCAAGGTAGCGTAGGATGTGTGTGTAGGAAGGAGAATTAGTTCGGTTATATTACTGTGACATTATTTGCAGATCAGAATTGGGCATGCAGTTCCTCCTAAAGGGAGCCCACAGATGAAATTACAGAGGCAATTTTTTTTTTTTTTGCGTTTTTTTTTTTTTTTTTCTGTCCGCACTTTATCTTTTGCTGGCCTATCTACTCCTGGCATAATAAAATCTAAGGAATATAAAAATCAAACACAGCTAGGTAATAAATTGATGTCTGCATTAAATTGCAGGGGGTGGTTAGCCCGGGATAAGCACCGTCCATGGGCTGTGCGGGCGTCAGTGCAGGCCGCGTAATCTCTTTTTATATTTCGAGGGGGATTGGAAACAGTCCTTCCTCAGAGGTGGGTTTTTTTTTTTTTTTATTAAATACGTATTGGTCCCTGGGTAGGTCCTCCTTGGAATCTAAGACCTACAATTTTGAAATAAAATATTTTTGAAATAAAATTAGACAGCACAAGTAGATATTAATAGTATTCTGGGAATTAGAAATGAACATTGCTTTTCAGAGTAGGTTATGGGATTCTTTTGATCCTTACGTAAGTGGAACACGTTATAAAAACTTTTTTTACCCGATCCAGTTTTACCCACTCGAGTCCTGGGACTTTTGTCGTCCACCTGGGTGAGGAATTGCTTTTGCTGTCAGATTTTAGGGACAGGAGCTTTCCTGAGAGTTCATTATTTGTCTTGCATTTTGGTTTCATTTTTCTTATTTCTAACCTTTGTATTAACCAAAATCCGGTTACTGATTTTTTAGAGAAGCCTCGTCGTCGTTGCCTTTTAATTCTGGAAAAATTGCTTCGGAGATAATGAACAGGTACCTGTTTCTCTAACGGGAATGATTCCGTCTCTTAAATGATCAGCTA